TAAGCGGCGTGTTACTTTTAAAAGACAGAAGATTGTCAAACTTTCAGAGGCTCACAGCATCTTTAAAATAAAGTTTCTTCTGGGAGGCAACTCGCCTGATAAGTTAGAAATCACTTTTGAAAAAAAACACACAACCAAAAACCTGTGTGAAGCCTGTTTAAACAGTTGTGTCTATTAAAAATGAAATCTGCACTAGATACCACAATGCCTATAATTTTGAGGTCAAATGGTTTAATTTTTGCTTCCTTTATATTTATTTCAAGTAGTAAAATACATTATGTAATACAGCGACGATGCCATTTTGCTGCTGAATATGAACATAAGAGTGTACGAGGGGACAGACCTGCTTAGATCATTTGGCTCAAGCCCCATGATAACAGCTCCATTCTCCACTTGTTTCACTTGTAGTACATATTTCTCTGTACTGTTAGAGTCCTCCGTTGGAAAAACTCTGGATGCTTTAGAGAGTTCAGCGGGAATTAAACATGTATCTGAACTCCTAGCCAGTCTTAAAAAATGAATGTGGCAGTAAATGGCTCAAGTCATGTCAAGTATATAGGGCTAAACGTGGATATTAATTATAGAACCAGAGGGACTCAATTTACTTTGTAAAGCAATTAAAAGAAGACAGAAACTTACAGTCTGTTTCTGGAGAAGAGTAATATGTCTGTTTAAAAATAACTTCCTACCCAGAATAGCCTGCCTGTCTCGCATAATATCAATTGGGGCAGGGGGTGGGTGGGGGTGGAACAGGCACTTACAGCACTGCTTCTTTATGAAAAAATCAAACCCAAGATGTAAAACAATAGAAGTTGACAGTTAGGTGCCCAGATCCACATTTAGGCATGTAAATTAGGATTTGCTTTTCAAACTGGCTGAACAACATGTTGAAATTTAGCTTCTTGTGTTTATTCTCCATGGGCAGGTTAAGGCAATGAAAGAGGCCTGTGTTCCTGTGGACAGATTGAAGGAGGTAGAGGGTTCTTTTTTTTAATATAAAGTGCAGTTTAATAGTGCTCTGGATTATTCTAGTAGTCTGTCTTTTTTTTTTTTTTTCAAATTAATTTCTTGCTTCAGAGTGGATAGGCAAGGATTCCTTTTGAACTTAATTAATCAGAGCTGGCGTTTGTTCCTATATCCATAAACAGAGTAGATCTGTGTGAAAACTTCATTAACCTAAAGCACCTGCTCCAACAGGCACCCTGATGGAAAGCTAGTGTATTCTTGGATACTTTACTACATTTTAGTTTTGCTTTGAGTGGTATTCATAATACCCTCTTCTTTACAGTGTACCCTCTGAAAATACCGTTGAGTCATCTGGACTAAGCTGTCAGTGAGAGCACCATACCTGTTCAGGATGATAGCCACAGCATCGGTCCCTCTCTCTGCCTCCTGGCTGGACAGGATCAGACATCTTCAAATATTTACTGGTGCACCATCTTCAAAGCAGTGTAGTCAGATAGACAGAAAGGAAAGCATGATGCACAAGGTCTTTGCGCTTCAATGTCCACTCTTTGTAATCACTTTAGAAATCAGCGTCTATCAACGGGCTAAAAAACCTATGGTAGTCACTTTTGTCTTCAGAGTATAGCACAGCATCAGAACTTCTGATCCACCTTTTTTATTGCTAGCTGATTTAAATATATTAGAAAGAAACAGCATGTTTAGCTGGTCCTACTCAATACTGCACTTAATTATTCCTTCTTCCAGGAGTATCATGCTTTAAGTTTTTCTGTGACATTTTCCCATCTGCCCTGTTGTGAATGTGACTATAGTGGGATTTACAAAAAGAAAGAGTTTAATGCATACAGACATGACAGCAGAAAAAGGAGCTGAGGTTGTGTTTGTCTTGATTGTTTACTTGAAAACTATAGTGAGAAAGAGCTTCAAAAACCACCTGAAAGCTCTCTGAGAGACAGCATTTGGGAGCCAGGGGCTATTACCTTTATACTTCACTAGAATCTCTTTGCTTTTACGTCACTGTTTCTAAAGTAAAAAAAAAAGTTGAACACAGGAAGAACGAACATCAAATCTGAGTGCCTTTCTCAGGCAAAATTTTACTGAAACTAGAAAGTTCATATAAACAAGGTCTTCCAGACATGACAGCAAGAAACTTAACTCTTGTATGGCAATTCCAAAATCTTTTGGTGAGAAAGGATGAGGTCATATGCTGAAGCAATCTGTGGCAACACAAATAGCTCTGTTTCCACTCTCTTCAATGCGTTCAATATGCTCTAGGTGATGTCACTGTCAAGGTGAGCATCAAACATCAGTTACATCATTTACTTCGTTATGCAAGCAGGGTTCTTGCTTGCATTTTCAAATGTGGCTGAGCCAGTAACATATGACCTTCACTGTTAAAACTCTAAGAACACTTAGCAATATATATATATATATATCAGTCTTTGAAGTATCTTATTGTTCTTTAAAACTTCACTTTTAAAAAAATAAATACTAATAAAATATACTTAGAAAGGGAGAGCGTATATCTGCTTTACTGCTTTAAAATTGAATTCCTTCCCAAATTCTGCACTCTTGTTCATCTGCACTTACCAGCAATAAAAGACAAGTGAAATCCTGATCCTAAGAACATCAAATTATGTCTATACTGGGTGCTTTAGTACGCTTAAGTCTAAATGCATCCTGCAGCTGTTTCAGCTGGTTTTCATATGAGTGCAACCTAGCACTTGGGCCAGAAGACAGCCATTCTGTGTTCCAACACTTACCCCATCTGGACAAAAAGGGAAGGAAAACTGTGGGGTATACTGCAGACTCCACCTATGTGGAAGTCCACATTCCCATTAATATGAGCAAATCAAAACTAATTAGCTTCTCTGCAGCTGTTCTGAAAGAAAGGATAACAAATTTTTAAAAAAAGTTCTCTACTGTTCACTGTATAAAGGTACATGAAGGCTTCTTCATTGTGTAAGGAAACACAGCTAGAGGCTCTCTTTTGTGCAAGTGTCTGATTCCCAGATTTATTTTTTTCTAATTTGAATTCCAGATCTGCATGGTGTTTCACTTCTACAGTACTCAAAACAAAAAGTCTGTAGCTTTATACCCGAGTAAACAAAAAAAAAAAAAAGCAAACATTAATACATCCATCTCATATCCAGTTTATTTAATACCGTAGCAGTAAATACAGACAAGAGTTCTCGAATCTGGCAATGCTAGAGCTGGCGAGATACAGCTACCTATCAGATCAACAGTCTATTAGTAGTTCTGGAATTCTGTGTGTGCTGGAAAGCTGAAGGGTGTACATGAGTCGTCTTCAAGTTCAGACCCCTAGATATTGACAATACAGTTAAATACACTACTCCTGATATGGCAGAGCAGCATCTGCATAGAAATAAAGCAACACCGTTCCTGTCAACACTGAGAACTATATTCTGATATTTGTAGTCTTAAGTGAAATAAACAGTGTCTTTTCCTTAAAAAAAGGAAGTGATCTTTGGTCAATGCTTATTACAATGTGCTTTAGTTTTATTTTACAACAGTAATGCTAAGATTATAGAGGTTTTTTTATGTTACAGGGGTAGACATTTGAAAAATCAGTATTCTGCTATGACTGATAAAGTAATCTTACCAGTTTCAATGCAGGTAAAATTTCAGAGCAGAAGTAGGCTTCAGCTCAGCAACTTACAAAGACTGAATCCCAGCTGTCCTCTGGAATGGGTACGAGGCAGTAATTCATCTTCAGATCACTTCTCTTCCCTTTCATAATTTCTGTATGAGCACAGCACTTTCAAACACGCTGGGCTAAGCCCTTATTTAAGTTAAGTCTACACTAAGAGCTCTGAATGTCAATTGACAACATATTTAGACCCATCTGATGTTTAATATCCACATTTGAGAAGTGTAGCTAACATATTCCTTAGTGCTCTCTCAAGTGGCATTTCAGTACCATAGCGATGACTAGTTATAAAGACACTGGTCCTTAGGAAAAACACTCTATGCAAGTTAGGAGCACAGGTCTTACCAGCAGGCTGACCTTTAAATCCAGGCAGACATCCCAAAGAACTTGTGCTCTTTACCAGTCCATGTGCTTTTCAAGCTTCCACTCCCATCTAAAATTGAACAGGCACATTCACCTTACAGGTAAGGAAACTTTGTTACAGTCCACGAAAACTGCTCTGTGAAAGTGATCAGCCCAAGATGTTACACTGGCCTTACACTGGCCCTAGCCATAAAATTATTTCACTAAACAATGACCTTGCCAAAACCAGTTCAATGCTCACTGACTAACATTTCACAAACATTTCAGTTTCCACCCTCCTCAACCTTCTCTACTTTCTTTCACCACTCAAAAAAAAAAAAAAAAAAAGATACTAAAACAGGTGACAATACTGCTGAGTTTATCTATCTGCTTCCCTACTTCTGGTGCCTCTACAAGGCAGCTTTGCAGGTAAATACCTTTTGTAGATTTGGTGTCTAAGCATTTAATCCATATGAATTTCAGCAGGTGTTAGGCATCTTTAGGCACACAAGGATCTGAGCCACCCTTCCTTGAGTTTAACACAAATACGTTATCACATACAGCAGCAGTATTTTGCTTTTCTTTAGTGCAAGTTGTTCTTGCACAAAAAAACCCAACTACTTCTCAGAATTCTGAAGTAAGATTTTGATCAAGCAAGGCTGAGTTTATTGGAAATAACTGTTTATACTTCAGTCGCACCTAGAAGCTCCATCCAAGACCATGCTGGTGTTGAATAAATACAGACTAAAACTCTCCTCTGAAGAACTTATGAGATAAAGGGTGAGAGGAGCATCTTGGACTTTAAGTGACATAGCCCTAACACAGTAAATCTGTAGCAGAATTGGAAATAAAAGGTCAGGTCTTCTAGGTCTAGACCCTGCCCACTTGACCATACTATCTCCCACCTTTGGTTTCTACTGTCTTACTCCTCCAGACATTGACCTTTGAAGGAAATTTACTGAATCCCAAGAGCTGCTTGTGCTCCATTATTTCAGCTTATTCCTACTTCAAGACTAACCATGTTTTACACAGATTTCCTTCTCTTTCCAAACACATTGTTGATTAACTTGGCCATTGACTTCGATCCACTTGGTCGTCTCTTTTCCTTCACTTTGAAATTTGAGGTGATATTCCTCAGGACTTTTGTGAACATTGCCACAACTTCCTGATAATGTTCTGCTGCAGACAGTTCACAGAATTGGCACTTGTTATCCATTGCCAGCTTTTGTCCTTCATCCCAGCCAACTTCCCTCATGTGGCATAAATCCTGTTTATTACCAACCAAAAATACTGATGACTCTACCATTCTGAAATCAAAAAGGTTCCGATTAGAGAAAAGATATGTTACAATACTGTGCTATATAGAGTGTGTATGAAAAGTATGTATGTTCAGGATAATAGGCATTGCAAAAGAACAAATCAACCCGCTAACCTTGCTAAGTAGAGTTATAGTTTTCCATTTGCTGTAGTCAAACATCAAAGGATTTTCCAGACAAGCTATTCTCTATCAGTAAGTTTTCATTAGGTTCCTCTACTCAGTGAATTCATGTATTTTTCATCCACTGCTGTTTTCATACTCTATACTGCTGAGTATATTGTCAGCTCCTGGACTTCAGGAAGATGCAAGCTGATCATTATCTCCATTTGTAGATAAAAGCATAGAGTCAAAGAGATGCATCAGTGTCAGTGGCATAATTCAGAAGAAAACACAGGAATCCTAATTCCAAGTTTTTGCTAAAATTACTCCTTCCAGGGAAACCTTAATTACGAAAGGTCAGCAGTAAAACAGACAGAAAAGTGTTGTGTTTGTTTTTTTTTTACTCCACTTCTGATACAAGGAAAGGATTTCACTTATTTAGAAAGCACCTCAGCTGACTGACACACCACCACATGTACTCAGACTTGCAATTTTGGTGGTTCTTTTTGAAAGTAAGTAGTTTGTTTCTTACCATATGGTCACCCATGTGCACAAATAATGTTGGGGTCACCGCTAAAGGCAGTTTAGGAGACATTCATGGTATTAGATTCATATATTGTGGGAAATGCTTTCTTCAACCCCCACATTGGTGCATCTCCATTGGTAATAGAGTGGGGGAGTAAAAGCATAAGCTGACTATGCCAGCTTTTTACCCATGTAAATCACAGCAGACAGATTTATAGCAATTATTTAAATAGTAGTGCTGTAAGAAATATGAACAAAAATCCTGATGTACTTGGCTTTGGATACAGTGAAATAGATTGCAATTTGCAATACAGTTTACCTTCAGGTACCTTACTGTTGGTATTGTAATTATGCCAATAGGATGCCTCTGGATTTTAATTGCTACTAGGATGCCTACAGCTCACAGAAATGTTCTCAGCTTTTTTGTATGTTTGCTGAGGGAAACAAAAATAATGCCACTTACTTTTTACAAGCTCCTATGTGAGACTCTCGGATCCTGTACAGCAATGCTTTTGCAAATGCAAATGATGCTCTGTCACTGATGTCGTAAACAATGATAAATCCATCAGCCCAGTGGAGCTCGTCTGTGAGGGAGAGCTTCCCCCGCTGTGGCTGAAAGAAGTTCAAATTCACATGCAAAAAGAATGTCACTGTTGTCACTTCAGAGCATTTTCTTTGTCACTGTGAATGTGAGGATGTTGTATCTTTTCTTGCAAAAGATATTAATAGGTCTAGGTGCTGGCATTGAATTCAGCTGAGTCCTGCTCCAAAAGCCTAATAAATAACCTTCACTACAGATGGCACTTTGGATCATCGACAAATTCATTATGAAACATTTACACTTTAAGCAGTAAAATTGCATAACCTGTACAGCCATTGCTAATGCTGAATATTCTGCAGAGTTACAGGAGAATGAAAGGTACAGGAGCCACCAGTATTCGTGCTCTTTCTGGTTATAGCTCTGTTTTGCATGTTCCTAATATTCTGACTGCAGTGAGCTTAATTTGTTAAAAATTCTTTGTTCCCACTCATTTCTTCTGTTTCTTCTTTGCATTGTTCAAGTCTGAAACAGTATTTACCCATAGGATAAATTTCTATAGGGCTAGGGAAAAAAAAAAATCTCCTTTCAAGCTGCAGTTGACTTTAACAAAACTGGTGACAAAAGGCACGCAAGTGATAATGGGGTTGTACCAGTCCTTGAGTCCTTTCACCCCAAGAAAGCATCACACTGATTTCTAGAAAGCAACAGCTGCCCATTAAGCTAACAAATGTAATTTCAAAACTACTTTAAATTAGCTTATCCCTGCAGATGGTTTAGCAGCAGCTAGCAAGACCATGTGACCCAAGATAGGTAAAATACTGGAAGCTGACCAAAAAAAAAAAAAAAAAGGAAATTTACTTTTGCTCTGTGGAAAACTCATCTTGGATAGTAATTTGAGGACTGTTTAAGTTGTTCCCTCACTAGTTTACTATTTTGCTCCTTGCAATGCATAGCCTCCACCAACATACCACCCTAGTTGCATTGATTAGCTCAGCATCAGGGCAACACTGTAGCATCATAAACAGCTGTACTGGGAAGGCTGCAATTTACCATGAGGGATGGTAACTGAACACTGGCAGTGAAAGGAGATGCATGAAAAAGCAAAGATGACACAGTTTTCCAGAACTATTTGAATACCTCAGTATCTTTAATACAACAGGTTTGGTTTTTTTTTTTTTTAATATTGTGGTGACTGTGCAGCAGGTTTAGGGGCAGAAAAGGTGACTTGTGTGTGTCACAGCTGTTTCCCAGATTGATCATTGAATATCTTGAGTTGGAACAGACCCATAATGATCATGGAGTCCAACTCCCTGCTCCTCACAGGACTACCCGAAACTAAATCATATGACTAAAAGCATCATCCAGACACACCTTGAACCCTGGCAGGCTTGGTGCCGTGACCACTTCCCTGGGGAGCTTGTTCCAGTGACCCACCATGCTCTCAGCGAACCTTTTCCTAATGTCCAATTTGAACTTCCCCGATGCAGGTTCATTCCATTTCCTCCTGTTCTATCGCCAGTCACCAGAGAGAGGAGATCAGCACCTCCCACTCTGCTGCCCCCTTTGAGGAAGTTGTAGACTGCGATGAGATCACACCTCAGCCTTCTCTTCTCCAAGCTGAGCAAACAAAGTGACCTCAGCCACTCCTCGTCACTCTTGCCCTCGAGGCCTTTCACCGTCTTGGTCACCCTCCTCTGGACACACTCTAAGAGTTTGATGTCCTTCTTATATTGAGGTGCCCAAAACTGCACATACTAGTTGAGGTGGGGCTGCACCAGTACAGTGTAGAGTGGGACAATCGCCTTGACTGGCTAGCTATGCTGTGCTTGATGCACCCCAGGACACAGTTAGCCCTTTTGGCTGCCACGGCACACTGTTCACTCATATTCAACTTGCCATCAACCCAAACCTCCACATCTCTTTCCGCAGGGTTGCTGACCAGCTTCTCATCCCCAATTATAACCAGGATTACCCCATCCCAGGTGGGGAATCCGACACTTGCTCCTGTTAAATTTCATAAGCTTTGTGATTGCCCAGCTCTCTAGTCTATCCAGATCTCTCTGCAAGGCCTCTCTACCCTTGAGGAATCCACAGCTCCTCCTACTTTAGTATAATTGGCAAGCTTACTTAATGTACAATCGATTCCTGCATCCAGATCATTTATAAAAACATTAAAGATCACTGGCCCTAAAAGTGAGCCCTGGGGAACCCCACTGGTGACTGGCCACCAGCCTGATGTAACCCCATTTACTATAACTCTTTGAGCTTGACCCATCAGCCAACTGTTCACACAATGTACTATGGACTTGTCTAGCTATATGCTGGACATTTTGATACTGTCAGAGACAGTATCAAAAGCTTTGCTAAAATCCAAAACCCCCACCTTTGCTGGCTTCCCTTGGTCAACTAGATGGGTGACCCTGTCATAAAAGGAAATTAAGTTAGTTAAGCAGGATTTTCCCTTAATGAACCTGTGATAAAGAGACAGTGAGCTTTGCAGAACAGGGATCCAGCTACTAGAGGGAAGCCTCAGAGAGCAGCAAGATTTCAGGAAGCAGAAACAAAAATTGGGACTCTTCCTTCCCTAGTTTCGCCTCCTCTCAGAACCTGCTTTTCTTCCCCATGGGATACAGAACCTCCATACCCCATCCGTCTCTTTCTAGAATCACCAGTTCCATCAGACAAAAAAGCAATATCATCACTACTTGCTGCCTATTCTTCTGCAGGCACCAAAGAGAAGTCGGGAAGAGAATAGCAGAAGGCAGCAAACAGCTAAAGTTAGGCCTTGTTCCTAAGGAAGAACTGGGACAAGAGAGCTCAATGAATGCTGGCAAGAGGAGTTGCCCTTAACACAGCTGGTCTCTGGTCTCCTTAAAAGCAAAAACATGCCAAAACCGTAGCAAACAAAGTCTCTACCCATAATGTAGTCTAATCTGCTTTACCCTAGATAGCTGCTACTCCTCATGTTTCAAGTATCTTAATAAAGTGTTCATAAGCCACAGGATTTAATATGACAGTAAGTGGAAGCTATAAGTGGGCTTAGGAAAGAGGTTTGAGGTAGGTGGAAACAGTAGCTTCTAACAGATTGTATGGCAAGGGAGGAGTCTATAGTGTAACATGGCACAGTGACTATTTCAGGATCCCCATTGCCATGGGACAAGCAATACTGTTGCCTGTCTCTAGGCAGGCTGATTTGTGTGGTGGTTCATTTTATGTGCTCACTGGGTTAAGTTTTTAAGTCCTTGAATTTAAGTCTGAGTCAGACTTTCAGTGCTTTGGCATTCATTATCCTAGTTGGCAAGAGGCAAGATCACTGCCCAAAAAAGAACCTTGTGAGCTAATGCTATTAGTCAGACAGACCTACCTAGGTCTGCATGTGTTACACAGTACCAAAGTTTCTCTACTCCTGTAATAGCAGGAAAGAAATACAAAAAGCTGTATTACAAAGTGGTTTATTGTGATCAAAGTTCAGCTGTCGACATGTACAAGCCTGCATTATGGTTCTCCTTGGATCTGTTCTGTGAATGCAAGTCTTACTTCCAGGCCTACCTACTTTGACTGTTTCTGCAGACATTTAATAAACTGCTTGCTTTATAAACTAAATTTCATCCATTTTGGGCATTTGAGGAAACTGCATCCTGTAACTTATCTCTGTATTTGTCTGTATAATGCAGAAGTGGGAAAAGAGATTTCTGTTAGTAATATTCCAAAAACGCAGAAGCATTTACAGAAAATTTAAGCAACGAAGGGCTTCTTCCATGAAATGGGAAAGTACTCAGCAGTTCTGAGCCACAGCAACTATAAAATTTCAGTCTTTTCAAAAAAACATCAAGCACAAATTCCAAGAACCAGACAGAAAGGTTGTAACCCCCCAACTCTTCCTACCATTACACAGGTAGAATGAGGAACAGCCTTTCTTTGCCCCCCTAAAATTCTTACCTGTGAACAAGGGTCATAAATTTCCAAGTGTATCTGCTTCCCATCCAGGCATAAGTGTTTAGTGTAGATGCATTCTAAAAGACACATGGCATTCAAAGAAAACCAGAATTAGTGTGATTGGAGATAGTGGTCAAAAGAAAAGGTGGCAAAGGTGAGATTCACTAATACTGAGGGGACATTTAGTTCCTTGGGTATTGTTTAGTTTTGCGGGTTTTTTTTGTGTTTGGTTGTTTTGGGTTTTGGTTTATTTTTTGACACTGGAAACAAGCCTATTTCATTTTGCAACACCTGAGCTGCCCAACCAGGCTGACCACATCACTTGACTGTTGTGTTCCCATGGAAGTGTCGGTGCAATGAATACTTTTAGACCCTAGTTTTCCTCTTCCAAAATGGAGGCAAAGGGGATGCACAATGCTCAGAATCAGCTAAATGCTGATGATTACTTAGCTTGCTACCAAGGTTCAGGATTATGAAAGTAGTAAGCCAGCCTATGTGTAAATTCTGATTCTGCACAGAAGTAATTATTTGGTAGTAATGTTTATTTACTATGAAATCTGGTACTTTAAGATTTCTCATGCTAGGTAGCATTAGATCAATAGTATTTACAGGATCATGTCCCTAGACTAGATCTTAAGATATTTCCATAGTGTCAGTTCTCCTATTTAGGACTCTCCACCAGCACTAGCAACCCTGGCAACTCTAGTGCAGTCAGACCATCACTGCTATTTTAAGCAGTGGGTTGTTCTAAGCAAATGTAACCAACTTGTGTTCATGGCACTGAACTAACGAGCTGTTTGCAATATAATTCCTCAGAGCAACTGAGCTACAAAGACAAGAACTGGTGTTGGCACTACTGAAAATACACTTCAAACTGTGTGTAATGAAGGTATAGATATCTCTGGAACCGAGCATCTTCAGTTCAGCACCATGTTCATCTTAAGCATTCTTCATGCATGTCTTAAGAGTTCATCTGATGATAAACTATCAGTCTCAAGCATCCCAGGGCATCAAATCTGCAGCCCCTTGGTGGATTCTATAGTTAAACAAACTTTTAATTAACACTTTGACTCCACTAAAAGTGTTCTAGGATGGTCTTCTATTTCATCACTCCTATTCCAACTTTTCTCTTCCTTCCTCCTGTCTAGAAATAGAGCTAAGCTTATCTTCCAACAAACACTTGTTTAAAAACAAAAACGTATCGGGAGTTTGACACGCCTTTTCTGATACTTACAGTATCAGAGGGTCAGAACAAGGAAACCTGGTTTTAGTTGTATGTAGCTTAGGACACACATGGAGCATGGAGAGCACTACATAACTTACATGTGACAGCTTAGACTTAGATAAGCCATCTGGGACACAAACTGCCTTTTCAGTCTGTGTTTGTATAGTTACAACATTGGTAGAGCATTTGTTTACAACTATAACTCTACTTTCAGAATAAGTTCATCTGGATACATTCAATGCAATTCAGCTTAGTACTGCTTTTTTTTTTATGGATCATGGAATGCTACTCTGATTTTTGTAAAAAGAGGCTTTTGGAAAAGTCTTTCACTTTAGCAGGGAAAGTGAAGTAGATAGCAGTCTCCTTTCCTTGTTAAGTTTTGGGATTTCTCATCCCCATCAGCTGGAGTGGCACACTTCCAAAGGTGTTTGCCTATCAGTTAAATAGTGCTTCTACCCAGGATGTGAAAGTTCAAGTCCTGCTTTGCCATTTTCCAAGATCTTAGAAGTGTCTTAAGGATCAGCATATTTGTTCTGGCATGAATGAGAAGTTCTATCCTCAGCATGGTGAGGCTTTCTACAAAGCTATCAAGTCAGTGTATTCCTGCAAAAGCAGGGGGCTTTGCATTATGCTTTGATTAACCAGTAGTGCCTGATAAACAATCTGTTTCACCTCTCCTCTAGAGCTGAGAAGGAGATATTCAATAGAACAGGTGTTGGGTTTTTTTTTTCCCCAGTCTATTTCTTTACTCTCTTCTTTATCTCCTCTCTGATTGAGCTTACTGTAATCTATCCACACTTCGCACATGCAGCCCGGTTATCTTTCCCTCCTAAGTCCCTTCACAGTTGCTTTGCGACGAGCATTTCGCCAGCCCCCGTGCCCGGGCGCACTAGTGGAGCTTTAGGTGATCTCTCCGCAGATACCGGGCTTGCCTTTTCCCATCTTCAAAGCCTACGCTTAATCAGGAACTCTCGCTGATAAGCAAGCGAAAACTTAAGCCTTTACAAAAAGTTCTGCGAAACTGCGCTTATACCCAATTTCTTGTTCAAGTAAGTGTTTGAAGCGTCGCATCTAGCGCTCCCCGGGGAACCCGCACCACACAGCCCCGAGTGGAGGCCCC